ATTCTAGGTTTTTTAGTTTTGTAACATTGGCATTATTCCTAGAACGGCGGACGGGGGGTCATTTTGACCCCTTTACTTTTATCCCTCTTTCTGCTCCAGGCATTGTCAAATTACCTATGAAAAACATTCACTTATAAGGATTTTTCAATTGCATTCATGCTATCTCCCAGAGGGATAAAAACCTGGGTGGTCTCACTATTTTGTAATGTCTACATAAATTATTGTACCTTTGTTTTCATTCATCTATTTGTTTGAAGAGAATACTGCACAGAAGGTAGATGCAAGGTTTTTCATGCTTACATTTCTTTTCAGAAAATAGTTTATTTTACAGATGTATTTTCCTGTTTGTTAATAATTCAGCTTACTTACTGCAGGTGATAACAGCTAGGACAGATGTTTTCTTAGTAATTCCAAATCAGTATTTCAGTACTTGTGAATTTTGCCCTCAAGTTCATTATCACCTTTCCTTTACGTTGTGAGAATCATATGCTAAAATATATTCCCTATCGTTTTCTGATAGTCCGATGTTTTTCTACTTTTTCAACTTTTACAAAATATGTCTAATAAGCGGAAAAGAGGTCTTTGAATTCCAGACACAAACTATTAGTGAATTTGAGGGCAGCAAAGTAAAAAAAGAAGAACTCAGCAGAAATAAACGGGCAAAAACGGATCAGGGTATTTGCAAAACTGTTTTTACAGCTTCTGATAACACTATATGGAATGAAATAAAGTCCAAAAATTCAGTCTGCAGCCATGTTCTTGCTCATAATGTTTTTAAAGAAACAGCAGGGCCAACATCTTTTGCAAAGAGTCGTGTTTCTGAGGACAAGGTGTCTAGTGCTTTCAAGCTTTTTATTGATGATGATATCTTGCTGCATATAGAGAACATATACGTACAGAATCCGAAGCTCATCGGCAAATTGGAAATAAAGACTGGAAGTTATCTCTGGCTGAGTTAGATCCTTTTGTTGCTATGTTGTATGTTCGAGGAGCAAACGGCTTATATTTACATTCCTTGTGGTCTGAAGCATGGGGAATACCATTTTGCAAAGAAATTATATCAAGAGATAGTTTCAAAGAAATAAAACAATTTTTAAGGTTCAATGAAAAGACAACAAAATCTACTCGATTACAGGCTAATAAATTTGCTCTTGCATCAGACATGTGGAAAAAATTTATTGAAACCTGCAAAACAAGCTACTGGCCAGGACAAAATATTACAGTTGATGAACAATTATTCCCATCTAAAGCTAGACGTAGATTTACGCAAGATATGCCTAATAAACCTGACAAATGTGGAATAAAATTTCGGTTATCTGTAGACATTGATACTTAATACCTCTTGAATGGATTTCCTTATCTAGGAAAAGATGAAACAACAAATCCTCAATTAAGTTTGTCTGAAAATAATTAATTGTCAAAAAATTACCGGAGCCACATGTAAACAAAGAGAGGAATATTACCATGGATAACTTTTTTACTAGCATTAAATTAGCAGAAATGCTAAAATCAAAAAATACAACTATGGTCAGCGCAATGATAAAGAACAGAAACAAAATTCCTATATCTTTGAAAAATATGCGTAGTAATCTTTATTCGTCGACAATAATGGAACATGATAATATCGCACATACCATCTATCAAGGCAAAAGAAACAAATGTGTTTTTCTGCTGAGCTCATTACAATGTACTGTAAAAACTGAAGACAGTTTCAAGCAGTTGGCTGATTCAATAGCATTTTACAATGCAATGATGATCGTGATTAGATGTGCCGAAAATATTCAGTTAAATCGGCTTCTAGACGATGGCCTGTACATATCTTTTTCAATATTTTGGATCCTGCAGCTTTGAATGCCTGGATAATTTATAAAAGTGTAACAGGAGAGATTTTCTACTGAAATTTGTACTTGTTTCGGCAGTACATGTACTAAAATTGGAACAATACAGATAAGATTAGCATGGCCCCTGCGCAAGGATGACACGCAAAATCGTGAAGCGTTCCACATTTTTTATCACGAACTGTCTGTTAACCAAAGATTTTCATATAAACATGCCTTCTACAAATATTGAAGCGTTTAAAAAATTTAGTTAAACAAAAATATATAGTACAAAAAATCACGAAAACAATGCAAATACTAGGAAGAACAGGAACAGACCTATGTCAAGTTATATAATTTATTTAAATGCTAAAAATTAAATATCATTTAAAGGATTCTACTTTCAAAATTACCTCTAAATATACATATGGAACATATGAAATTGTGATTTAAGATATGTCAAATAAAAATAATAATAATAATAATAAATTTATTTATTCAGGGAAATACATACATTCATAAGGGCATTGAATTTTAAAATAGGCATTTACTATGCAGAAGAAGAAATTTATAAAGAAGCATTACGATTTAAGGGTAAAAGTAAATCTAAAGCGTAGATCTTTCAACTGTTCCTTAAAGAAGAATATGGAGGCTACCTATGTAAATGGAGCATTTAATTCTTACAGCAAGATTCTACAAAAGAGAAAGAGAAAATTTATTGAACTTTTATAAAAGAAGTTAAAAGGTAAAAGGACAAGTAATTTATGAAGAGGAATTTTTTCTTAAGAAACAAAACTAACAAGAATGTTTTTCTTAACTGTCCATAAGGAAGAAGGGGAAAGCTCTACATGATTCAGCCATAGAAAGAATAAGAAAAGGAACTAATGTCACATTACAATTAGAATAAATGTACCTTTGAATTTGCTAACCTGTAAAATCTACTGTGTATTTACTAGTTAAGACATTTTTCATTAAATAAGAATGTTTCACTAAAAGAAGAAGAGGAAAATTTTACAGGAAGATGTTTATTAAAAAAATAGAGATTAAGATATCAAGTTATTTATGAAGAAACCACGAGGACAAGAAGAAGTTGAAATTAATGAAAAGGAAAGTGAGAATTTAAGAAGAAATAATTCATAATGATGGATTTCATATTTGTCCTATATATGAAGAATGAAGGGAACATAATGGAATTTACAGGAAGAGAAGAAGAAGCTGCTGAGTAGAAGAAGTTTGTGGATTTGAGATATAGATGAATTTACTCCATAGTATAAGGATAACTATAAATTTAGGAAATAGGGAGGGGTTTTCAAGATGATATAGCTAATGAAGGGCTACTTAATCGTTTATGGAAAGGCAGAAGAAGTAAGCTTCAAAGGAAAAAAATTTGAAAATAAAGGTTTCAAAGGAAAGGCGGAAGAAGATGGCTTCAAAGGAAAAAAATTTAAACGGAAAAGGTATAAAATTACAAATAAAGGTTTTTAAAAAGAAAAAGGAAATTTTTCTGTAGAAGATGGAAAGAATATGTTAAGAAGTATTTCATAAAGATGGATTTCTTATTCGCTATATTAAGTAAAAAGATAAAGGACATATAGGAAGAAAATACATGTAAAGTGGAGGAAAGAAATTAAGATAGAAGAAAGGAAGATTTAACGAAGATTAAAGGAAAGAGAAGAATGAAGAAAAAAGAAAGAGAAGAACTTCTTGAAGAAGAACGAGGGAATAAATATCAAACGTGTTTTACTAAGAACAAATTTCGACATTTTATAAAAAATTACTTACAGATACACTTCATGAAGGACTCTAAAGTACCACTTTAAGATTTTTATTTTTATTTATTTTTTTTTTTTATATGGCACACTATATGGCAATGTAAAACCTTTTATTTATTAGTAAATACTAGATAAGAGTGGACGTGGGCAGAACCGATTAACCGTAATGGTAGAGGGATGGTGCCCACGTCCTCCATTACTACTACTGAAATTAGGAGAGGAGAGTGGTACATATTGGCTTCCAAACTCCCAAAGATCCTTCTTGAGTCTTCCCAGGGGAAACACATAAAAAGAAAAAACATGAAAAGAAATGGATATAAGAGAAAAAGTGTCAAGTACAGACATGCAATGGAAACAAATCTCTAGCAATATTGTACAACTCGTTCCAAATTTGTGTGCGGAAAATTGTCAATGGAAAAATGTTAAAAATTATTTTTTGTATCAACTGCATTAATTTTTAATATGCATATGGGTAATCTCTAATATTTTAAACATGAATAGAATTGAAACAGAAAAAATGGAATTGAAATGAAATGATTTACATATTCCATTCAGCTAGCACACATATATGATATAACTGAAACATCAGAGAACATTTCTCATTTCTGGATTTAGAGAGTGAATCCTCCTCCAAGTAAGTACATAAAAAGATATTATTATATAAATTGTGTTTTATTTTAGTTAGCCTTAGTTTTAATTTGTGAAACCATTTATTTGAAATCAAATCTTATATCAAATTAATGAGTTATTTGAGTAATTGTAGTATGGTCCAATTGATCGCCATGTACTCGATACATTTACAGTATTTTAAAAAGTCAATAAATTATCATGTAATATTAAATATAAATTATGAAAGACATATAAAGTACATATTTGTGCCAATGTATGGCATTTAAAATTGTTTTACCGTTGTTATTTCAGTACTTTCATCGAAGAGTCAAAATGACCCCTTACTGCCGTTCCAGTAGATACGATTTTCTCGCCGTTCTAGTGTTAAAAAGAATATTTAGAGAATTGTGAATTGCATAAACTCACCATCTATACAACATCAGTACTGTGCACTGGACAAAACAGATGTGCTATGTGCATACCTAGGTTGTCGTATAAATAATTTCGGGCATCATACTGCTTTGCCTTATGAATTGTTTTCTGCAACTTTTTGGTGGTGGTGCAGGTAATCAGAAAGTACTGATTATGAATTTGTAGTAATCATATTTCTTTTCTGGAAAGAAAATTTGGTTATAAATATTTTTTCTTATAAGGGGAAGCTAGCTCACATTACATCTGGAGAAACCTGAACCTGAATCAAACTACCGATGTTCATATGTTTGTGTTATGGGTTATTTTATTGTATGTTTTGTTCGCTCATGTACTTTTACCAAATAATAATACATTATTAATCTTTCCTTAGCTGTATGAAAATGAAAGAAAGCGGAAGTTTACTGATGCTCCTTTAGCTATTTCAAAGGCCTGTAAAGATGAAGATTGGTGGATTTTGTCTAATAACTGTATTTTGTAATAAAGTAATGCAAAATTATTCCATTGAAGCTGTATAATAGTAATTAAGATGGTTTTATTGAAAGCCACACTTTGTGTTAATGTGTAAAATGAGTTATTTGGATTACAGTAAAGCATGCAAGTCTACCTGCCTAATACACTCATGTCCATAAATTAAGGATAACGCAAAATCAGGCAAAGGAAGAGTTAGAAGCAAAACAAATCTGACTTATTTGTAAAGCTTATTTATTCAAAATGTAAAGAGCCAAAAAAGATGCTGTATATTTTATATTATTAAAAAAATTAGCGATTTTTTCTCCCAGGATCAAATTACAAAAAACCAATATTACATGGTTGGTATGATTTTTAATACATTGTATGTCTCCCAGACAATGCAATACAGACCCTACAACGCCTAGGCATGCTGAGTATCAAATTATCGATCTGATCTTGGGGGATATTACACCACTCAAAAAGCAAATGCTCCCTCCGAAGTTCCTGTAGACATGTAGGAGGAGGTTGACGGGCTGCAACTCTTCGGCCAAGCATGTCCCACACGTACTCTACTTGATTCAAGTCCAGTGAGAATGCTAGCCAGTCCATACGGGTGATATCTTCTGATTGAAGGCATTTGCTTACGATATTTGCACAGTGAGGCCGGGCAGTGCCATCCATAAACAAAAATTGTGCGCCCATGCCACCCCGAAAAAAACGTACATGTTGTTCCAGAATGACATCCCCATAGATTTGACTTGTCATGGTTCCAATTTGAACATGCAGGTCAGTTCTGGAACCCAGAATAATTCCACCCCAAACGAGCACTCCTGCACCACCCTAACGGTATTATCCAATGATGTTTTCTTGGTGATAACGGGTACCTGGAGCTCTTCATATGAAAGTCCGGCAAGAATCAGACTGCAAGCTAAACCTGGATTCGTCGGAAAACATCACACAAACTCTCTGTTGCGGTGTCCACAATGCATGCTCTCTACTCTAGGCTAACCGCAGGCGACAGTGAGTTGCAGTAAGTGGAACGCATCTCACAGGTCTACGAGCTGCCTTAAGCGTTTGTACACGGTCTGCCTTGAAATTGTCGTACCAGTGGCTGAAGAGAGCTGACGAGACAGTTCTGAGGCTGTGCTACGCCTGTTTCTTTTGGCAGTAACTGCCAAATACCGGTCCTCATACAGCATTGTAATTCTGGGGCAACCTGTGCTGTAATGTCTACTCACATTATCATCATCTTGGGATCGTTGCCAAAGCCTGGAGATGACACTCTGGGCTATTTTAAATTCATCTCATACTTCCAGTTGGGTACGCCCACATTCCTGGCGGCCGATAATTCTACCACGTAAAAAATCATCCAAATGCGTCCTTTGTATCATAACTATTCGGTTATTGCATTGAAATGCTTATAAAGTGCCTGCGAACAATTTTACTTCTTTGCCTGTATTCCTTATATATCATTCTCTTACACTCTCGTCATTGTGATGTACCATCGGTGTCATCTGGTTACTTCCTGAAATTTGCATATGATTCTTGAAGATGTGTGTAGTGATTTTACAGGTGATATATTTATTTTAGAGTTCGATTTCCGCGTGACTCCGAATTATCCTTAATTTATGGCCATGAGTGTAGAAAAGGGGTATTCATGAATGACTTCTTAAGGGAAGCTAGCCCACATTACACTTGGAGAAAACATGCACCTGAATCAAACTACCAGTATTCAGAGATCTTACCATTTTTTGCATAGGCTCTGAATTGTAAATTGATTGAGAATTCAGTGGTAATCTTTTTCCTCCTAGTGAATTTGTGTTGATATTACTGACCTTAGAAAATCAGTCATTGTAAGGGTGGATTCATTTCTTAAAATGCTAGTTTTTATTGTTATTTTAAAAAGGGAATAAAATAATCTTGCAGGTATGTTTAAATTTCATTAAAAAATAATAAATGAAATCTCTTACAACCACAGTTAAAGTAAGCTATTTGCATCTTGTTTAACTTGTGTTTTAAAATTAATATTACTAATAAATCCAACAAGCTCTTCTTCAGTTTTCTCAACAATATTTACAATTCATTATCAAAAATTGTTTTTAAATAAGTAAATTTGTTGCTGTTAATTAACTTTCCCATTTAGTATAAAGTTCATGTACATGTTCTTACTTTGGATACTATGAAAGAACTTCAGGTCTCAAAATTATTTCTCTGTATCACATATTTTTCAATGACTTCCATTGAATGGGTTTGTTAACAAGTGGAATGTTACCCTCAGCAGATTACTGTATTGAAAACTGAACTGCTTCCAATTACTTCTGTATTCAGAGTTCCCATTACATATACAGGTTTAGAATGCTTTAAATCTTAACCACTTCATCTGCAGTGGTCACGCCCTTAAACAAACAATTTTTGAATTTTTTGGCCTTTTTCTTTACAAAATGTTTGAGTGAAAACCGACTGATTACTTATCTTTTTTCCTCTAAATAACATGAAATGACTGCAGGAATTTGAATTATTTTTAATTAATTTTCAATGAGACAAAATAACTTCCTTTTATTCGCATAAACAACTTTAAGTTTCAAAAGTTATTCGTCGCATATCATCATTTCTGTCACAGACAATAAAAATATAGCAATAATTAAACTGCATATACTATAAACAACCTGTGTATAGCTTTCAAACAGGAGTGTTTATTTTTACATAGATATAGATAAGAGGCTGGGAAATCACAGAGTTATTTTATTGCTGATTAATACATGCACCTGCCGAGTGAAAATGCCTTTCATTTCCAGACATTTTTCTCTGAGCTCAATACGCTTACTTCCTACAGGGTTGCCACGCTACCTGGAAAACCGGGAAATGTCAGGGAATTCGAAAATTGACCAAACAATTCAGAGAATTTAAGTATTTTTGTCAAAATCTGGAAAAGTCAGGGAAGTTCATACAACGATCCCGCCAAAAAAAGCGATTTTTGCGCCGACGTCGAAAGAGATAACTATTTTGGCGAATTGTGTATCACGTGAGTGTCATTCGGGCAGCTGGCATAGAGCCAATTTTCGCAGCTCCAATTTTATTGGCTTTTAGAAAGGCAAAGCAATTTTCCCGCAACTTTTGGTTTCCAGTATTGTCGAGAATCGCATGTGCAGTGCATGAACTAAAGAATGTACCTGTTCCCGTATAAAACAAAATGGGTTTAATCCTATTATACGGTACCATGGAGGTTAGAATCAAAGCATATGTATTGTAAAGAAGGAAAAAACCTCTCCGCAACAGACGTGGCTCCGTTCCATCATAGAGGGGAAACAGCTGTGTATGCGTGATATATCTGTCGCCAAAGCTCGAAACCGGTGTCGAAGTTCGAAGGTCACGTTATCAAGAGTTCATAAAATGAATATCGTTTAAAATTTCTTTAACCACTTGCGCTAAAAAGACGTGCCACGCACGTCGAGATGCTTTTGTCTCAAACCGCGAGCGATGTGAACTTATCGCAAAAATGAAAATAACATGGTGCACACGTAGCCTAACAACGAGATTGTTTATTTCTCGAGTTACAGATCTGGATTGCACTCGCAGATGCGGAGCGGCGTAAAGGAGACACTTTACCGCTTGTTATATTGTAGCGCACGGCACCGCAACCGTGAAGTTTAGTCTTAGCGCAAGTGGTTAAACTAAAGGAAAAGAAAATATTTTTTGGCGCAAGCAAATTAATTCATGGATTAGTTATTTTCAGGGAAAACTAAAACTACGAAAATCCGTTTTTAAAATTATTGCGAAAAATGCAAGAAGAAACGTCCTTTGATAAAACGTTTCTTCTTGGATTTTTCGTAGCTTTCCTTTTGTCAAAGAACGTTTCTTCTTAACACGTGTTTCTCAATTTCCGGTACACATCGCGGAGAGAGAAATTCTAGCCGCCAGGTTCCGCCGCCAAATCCCTTGGCAAATTTTCCCTCCGCATTCTAGCGGCTTAATAGCATTTTACTTGTATGAAACCTTTTCTTCTTTACATAGACGTTCTTTGGTTAGAATAATCTCCATGTATGGTACAATGGGATTTGGCGACATGATGATGCGCAGTAAAGGGGTCATTTTGGTCTTGGCGACAAGTTTCAAAATCGTGCCAAAGCCTTACCGTATACTAAAAAATTTTACCGCAAAATCTTTTTAAACCCTTTTTTTTTAAATAAATACCTTGCCATTTTGCAATAAAATAAAAAAATAATAATCAGTCATCTAGGCTAACCATGTCATATTATTCGCTAAAATATCGTTGATTATTCTAATTCAATTTTTAAGTAATTATCTTTATTTTTATGTTATTCATATAATTTAATGTTGCTTCTTCCCTGTAAATTTATTATTAGTAAATAATATTTCCAAATTTCAGGAAATTTTCTCTGGCATAATCCTGAAATTAATTCTAGCAGTATGATGACATACCATCACGAAATTTAATGCACACATTTTTTCCTTATGTATGCTGCAAAATAAATATAAAGTACCTCAGTTTATTAAAATAGATTTCTTTCTTTCGTTTAGCCGCAGAATGTCTGCAAAAAAAGCCTTATTTTATTCCAGATTGGGAAGATTATAATCTCAATCTTCAGTGGAGAAAACAACAACTATTATAATTATATTTGTGTTTTCAAGTGTTAAGGTGCCTTTTAAGAACATATCCCACACAAATTAAATTTACCTAAAATCTAACCTAACTATTTAGCATTGTATTGTGATTTATAAGGACTGGATTAGCCTCGTCTTGAACTGGTGATGATCATGAGTAATAATTAAATGAAACATACATTTGTTATCCAATGTGTATATCTTAAATTTTATTAAGTTTCTTAAGTTGAAAAGTAAACAAAATTATCAAACAAAGTATACCAAGAATAATTAAGAATAAATGTCCTCTGGGATTTATTGAATAATTAAGTGAATTTGCTACACAATACAAGTAAATACCATAATTAATTTATCTCTTAGCACAGCCAACGTACATTACGCGGATAGACTGGAATTTTCTTGAAACACACCTGGAAATGTCAG